CGTGCCGCAAAAGAAGTCGGTGAAGGCATGATGGACCAAGACGCCTACAAAGATCTCTCTCCCTCCTCCAAGGCCAAAGCGGACGATACGCATCCGGAAGAGCTTGCGCTGCTATATCAGCAAACGCACAAGCTGTTTCCGGCGCTGGCAGCAGCCCTGGCGGATGGGAATACCTTGCAAGATCTGATGGAGCTTGTGAACTTCGTGGTGGAAAACGAGGAGGTCTTGTGGAGCGACCCCGAAGTGCAGTTTGAGCGCGAACAAATTTTGCTCGAGGTGTCCAGAACGAATGATATCAGAGCTGGTGGTCCTCGTGATGCCAGCACTTCTCCAGCCAGCACCAGCACAGCATCAAGAAAAACTTTGTCTACTTCGAGGACGACTTTCCGCGACGCGCGGTTGCGACTGCAGGCTGTAGTGTTGACTCGCGAAGCGTTGCAGTTGGCGGACACATCCAAGGCTAATTTGCAGAAAAACGAAGAGCAGCTTTTTAGAGGCTGCGAAAATAGTAGTGAGCAAGAAGACGCGGCATTCTCCGCGCTGTACGAGAAGCGCGAGCTGCGGTTACTCCTTCGCCCCCAGTACCGGATCGCGAGAGGAACAGCGACGTCAGCTGAGAGTGCTGCTCCTGCGCAGGAGCAAAACGGTGGAAAGAACGCAAAGTCATTTGCCTCAACATCTTCAAAACACGCCCCCGTAAGAAAGAAGACTGATTACCTGTACGGGCCGTTCGAGGAAATCGCCCGGACGTATCGACGCCTCCTCTCTCCAGATTCCGCCAGCGAACAAGATCATTTGACTTTTTCCTCCCTGCGTTCGTTGGCCGAACGGCAGATCGGTCCGAGCTTGCGGAAAGAGACAGCGTATTGGTACGACGAACTGGACAAGATCCTGTTCTACGCGAAATTCCACTCCACCAACCCGAAGCCGCGGCCGCCAGCCAGACGGATGACGCAGTGGCAGGCGACCAGTGACAGAAGTAGGGTTCTTGGAGGAGCTGCTAGTAGGGACGGCGATCCCCTTGCTGAGAAAAAGTTCAGCGAAAGCAAGCAGGAAGCCGCACATAGCGCCGCCGAGCCGCTGGTGCTCAGTGTGTATTTGGAGGTTCTGAGCTTGCTGCAACAGTTTCGGCTGAACTACCAAGCGGGAAGTTCAGGCTCGGGTTCATCTCGTGGTGGATCTACTTCCACCAGCGCCGGTGGCGACAGAAAACTAGAAGAGGAGGTTGCGGACTGTGCCATACACGGGGATACTGCATCACTGGCCGAAGACAGTAAGAAGTACAAGAGCGGGGCCGGAGGCCGAACTCCGAGCTTCGCCCGAATGCAACGCGATTGGGGGCCGCGCGTTATTCGGACTGTAGGCACGGCGGAAGTCGTCAAAGGAAGTAATAGACTGGGCGGAGCTGTAACAGGGCAACATCAACCTGCACTAGCCACATCCTCTGCGCACTCCTCTCCGGAGCTGGCCTTCCAGCGGAGCCACAGCCAGCAAGGTCTTGGGCTGGGCGCGTTTGGCGGGGGTGAACAAGCGGGAGCAGAAGATTTTTTGCAGGCTTCCCCCACCACTGGGGCTCTTGATGTCCCCGACGAGGACGAGCCTGCGCCGGAAGATTTCATCAAAACAGCCGACCTTGAGGAGTGGCTCGAGAGTTCCGCGAAGGACGTCCTTCTTGGCAATGCTGCGGATCGATTCCAGAAAAACGCGCTTTTGGCTGCCATCGTCTCATTCTTCGCAAGGAAACAAGCAGTGTTCTGGCACTCGTTGCCATCGAGGGGGCTTGGTACTACGTCGAGTGGAGCAGCTGCGTCGTTCCGGTCTCTGAGCGGAGCAGGGGCGATGTTGGGTGGAACAGGCTTGTCAACTACGCGGTACACAACTGATGCGAAGTACCACCTGTCTCTGCTGGAGAACCAGCGCCGCACGAAAGCATTGATGTTATCGGAGCTCAAGAAGGACTCGCTGCTCCCAATAGGTCCCGTTCCTGAGAAACAAAGACATCGCGAGCACGCGTTTCTGCGTGCGCACTTGGACGACGGAACTGGGGTGGCACGGATTGCCGCAACGCAGTTCCTGAATTGCGCTTTCCAGAAGGTACAGAAAAAGATTTTTGGTACACAGGAAAAGTCGGAGAGCCGGGGCATTGAGGAAATTCAGAAACACTTCCAGGAGTTAAACAAGGAAGAGCAGATTGTTTCAACACGACTAGGCAGTACCTCTTTGCAGATTGCTTCACCCGGGACTTCTTCTCGCAGCAAGGCTGTAGTGAGTAGCAGCACGACAGGCGGGTTTGGAACCACACCGAGCAAGAAAGACCAAATGCTGACCAGTGTGAAGGAAGTGGAACTACTGGACGCGCTACCGACACTAATTGCCGTCGCCGCGAGAAGGAATCTAAAAGAACAGGCCGAAAGTGGTGATCCACTTCACTCTCAAGGCAAGGCGTTACAGAAAAAATTCGACGAGGGCAGCGTAGAAACTTCTGCGAAGATGTTGAAAGGAAATCAAGTAGATCAGCTCGCGAACAACAACCCGGCACAGCAAGTTGCGGCCGCCGCAAACAATCTCGCCTTTTCTGGCTACGCAAACCTACATCTCATGCACCACATCGATTTGAAAAAGCACACCCACACAACTTCCAACGGCGTTGCGAAGGACCGCGAGCAAGACGTTATCCATCTGTCCGAAAGGCAACTTGCCAAGGAAGAGAAGAAGCGCCGGGCCGCGTGGCAGACCATCGACACGGCGACACAGCGGCTGCTGGTCGAAAGTATGGCAGCCGGTGGCGGTTTCGGAGTAATCGATCGTGAGAGCACCGCCATGCTCGAAGAAAAACGTTGCAGCAGCTCGTCCTCCCAAGAAACAACGGACGCTAGCACCGCAGGAGGGACTAAGGTGCGAAACTTTTGCGTTGATGCGCCAGGAGCTGCAACTGCTGAAAATGACGATTCTGCTCCTGCTGACGTCCCGCACTGGCATAAAACGCGAAGCAAATCTTCCACACAGGCTCGCGAGCACAGCAGTGTGGAGAAGGTGATGGAGCGGTACCTGCTGAACTCGATCTCCAAGGAAGTCGCCTGGTGGCACTTCACAGCCCCGGACGCCGCGCGCACCGGTGCAACCAAGGAGGTGCAGCGGGTCAGAGGAGTGCTGTGGACCGCGGAGTCCGGGGATGCGAATGCGGTAAAAAGGTATCACGCTGAACCCAAGCAAGGGCCGGGCCCCAAGATCATGCGGGAATGTGAAAACAAAAGAGCTCGTATTGCGGAAGGAACACCAAAGCAAAAGCTTCTCGAAGCAAAGAAAGAAGGCTCAAAGACGCAGGAGTGCGTGCTGCAGATCCTGCACGACCTGGCGAAAGGGTCTGTCGGGGCCGGGTTCCGAGACTTTGTCACGAAGGAAATCGCCCGGTCCCCCGCGGGGCTCCGTCTCGTCGGGCAGCCGGTGTACAACTGGCCCTACATCGTGGCACGGTTTTTCTTGCACAACGAAATCACGGATTCCTGGACGGAGACGGAAGTAGCGAAACTCTTGAACAGCCTGCACACGTTCACACCCACCGTGGAGAGATACCCCTGGCAGCAGGGTGGACGAAGTGTTACAAACTCCGGAGGTTCTTCGCAGGATCATCAAGTGCCTGCGCCTCGCGAAAGCCGGAGGGGAAACTACGAAGAGGACACACCAATGAACGAGATGGAGGTGGATAGCGAAGGCGAGGAAGAACAGGCCCGTGAAGAAGGCGAGCATGGGCAGCTCGTCGAAGAAGTACAAGTAGATGACACCCGGGTGGATCTTTCTCGTCTCGGGATCTGGAAACCGATTTCCCATTGGACGAGTGTATGGATGTGTCAGGATCGAAATCGACAAAATCGAAAAATTTGTGACGCATAAAATGCAGGGCACTGGAGGCCTGTATTGGGGAGCAGGCAAATGAGGCCGATTGTAAGCCTGTTTAGGGGTTGTATACAATGTGCTGCCAGAGTAGCACTACAGGCGGAGTCTTCTTTGCCCAAACAGCATGACAGACTGGATTTGGGTACCCTCTAAATTTGTCATGCGCCACTTGGAAACTGAGGCTCCAACTGACATCGATTTTGTGCATCACAAATTTTTCGATTTTGTCAATTTCGATTCTGACACTTCCATAGAGCGCGGAGTTGCTCGACTGGAGCAGCCACATGAAAACTCAGGTGGCGCCCAGGCTGCGCGAACAGCTGGCAGACCACATGGCCAACCTAGATTTCCTGCTGTCAGAAAAGTTTTTGCCGACGACCAGTTCTTCTCATTCCGGACCACGTGGGAGCTTGACTTACCACCTCGATTTGCAAGAGCGAGAGGTGCTCCCCGCGTGGATGGCTTTTTCCGCAATCGGTTTTGGTGGAAATAGCGCCAATCTTGCGCCGACCACTGCAGCCAAGGAGACGAGGTTTAAAAACCACGTAGCCGGGTGGGTGTTGGAAAAGTACGCGGAGAAAGCGAAGGACACCAGAAATGCATCCCTTCTTGCGGGTACTAGGGAAAAAGCAGAACAAATGTACCAACAGTTGCGGGAAAAGGCGAGATTTCTCCGCGTCCAGGCGGTCTTGCAAAAGGGTATTGGGATGGTTCTGCGCGTCTACGAGAAGCTTTCCGCCCTGGCACTGCAAGTCTTCTTCTACGGAATTAAGGCGCAGCGGCAGATCGAACTGCATTTTGTGCAGCGACTGGCGATTGTCGAGGTCCTGCGGTCGCACTGGGCTGCGATGCGCAGGAACTTTTTGGGAACGGCCGAACAGTTCGTGCTGCACGACGGCACGCCCCTTGCCGACCGGAAGGCTTTCGAAAACGAAATGTTGCAGCAGCTTCAGCAAGAGAGACGTACACCTGAAAAAGATCTCCCAATAAAACCTGCTCAAGGTCAACCTCAACAAAATCAACAAGATGACAACGACAGAATGAAGCTCTATTTCCCGCCAGCAGCAACTTCTGGCGAGACCAATGTCGCGAGCGACGTCTTCACGAGAGGCACGCTGTTACAAGTAGCGACAGGCGAGGGAAAAACGGAAATTGTTGCCGGTATGGCGGTGTTGATGAGCTTGGTTTACGGGAAAAAAGTGGATATCATGACCAGCAGCCCAGTTCTTGCCGTGCGCGATGCGGAGAAAAACAAAAACCTGTTCGAGGCGTTCGCGTTGAAAATCTCTCACAACACACAGTCTACTTCGGGAGCAGCAGGAGCGGATGGCAGTGCAACTACCAGCAAAAAGAAGTCCTCTTCCTCTGCATCTTCTTCCAAACGCGCGTGCTACGAGAGCGAGATCACCATTGGCGATCCAGCTGATTTCATGTTCGACGCCCTGAAATCCGAGTGGTACCACCAGAAAACCACCGGAAATCGCTACGGTGCGAAGTATATGCAGTGTAAAAGTATGGTATTAATAGTAGAAATAGCATCACAAATTTTTCCAGAAGGGAAAATGGAATTTGCAATGCTGAATGAGCTCACGAACCAGATTTGTCATGCATGACTGCAATTACTATGAGTGCGATACTTTTGCACTGGATAAAGTACGAAGCGAACGTCGACGCAGGGCCCCGGGGGAAGCGACTCAGTGCGAACTCCAACAAGGCGGGGCGCCACGACAAGGAGGGTGAAGAACAAGCCGGCGCCGGTACTGCTGCTGATGATGAAGAGAAAGAGTCGCAGGAGAGCCGAGAAAAGCCGATAGAGGTGTTTTATGACCCTAGCGCCGTGGTCCACCGGCTGACACCGGGAAAAGCGAAGTATGATGCGATAGTGCGTGAAGAGAACGGCTTACGGGCTATGTCTCGCCGCTTGTATTTGGAAGAATCTGGGGCGGTGTTGCCCCGACTCCGTGTCAAGCTCGCGAGGTACGCAGAGGGGGTGAACGATGTGCTCCGCGAAAGGTTGTTGCCTGCTAAACCGGAGGACGTTGAAATGCCAGCAGCCGGACGTCCGGAGGAGGAACAGCCAGAGCAGCAAGCAGCGAAGGCTGCGGAGAAGGAGGAGCGCAAACAGGCCGAGATTCTTTGGGCCAGTTCCTTGGGCGACGGGGGAGCAGAGAAAGCCGTGACCTCCCTCGAGGGAATCTGGCGCAGAAGCACTGTCAAGGCGATTCGATCAACAAAGAGACATGTTGAGACGAGCACAATTCATCCCAGGCAACGAAAAGAGGACGGAGAAGACGATCCAGATATTACGGATGAAAGAGCAGACCCGCAGTTTCAAAGCGTGCTCTACCAAGTCGAACCAACGCCACCAACGAAGAGCGACGCTAAGACCTCGAATACCCCAGCACAGCACACGAAAGAGTGGTTTCGGTTCTGGCAACGGATAAGCCACGCAGGCACGAACGATATATCGACCGGTTCTGCCGCCTTCGAGGACCATTTTCTCTTGCCGGGAGAAAATCTGTTCCCCGCCCTCTTCGGAACAACGAGCGAGTCAGTGCTGGAAAGCGACGATCTGCGTGAAGAACAACGTAGTTTCCAACCAGACACCGACTTCCGGAACATCCACAAAGCGTTCGCGACGAAGATTCTGAAAGAGGAGGTGGAAATGAACACCGCGATCGCGATGGGTCGGCTGGAATTTGGTTTTGACAACGTCGCTTTAGCCGACGAAGTTGACATGATGCTGGTAAACGACTTATCCAGGACTGCGAAAGTCGCCGTGCCGTTTCCGGGGGCGGAATTTCTGGAGCCGATTTACCACGTGCTGAAAATGGAGATTGACCGGCTCCAGCACCGGCTGATTCCCGTTCCGGAGGGGAAGAAGAAGCGGCTGGTGCTGCTGTACGGTGACTTATTGCGGAAAATCCGCGGTACTGGTACAAGAAACTTGACAGCAAGAAGACCCTCAAACAACTCTGTCGGGTCGTCCGCGATAGTCGAGGATTCCGTCGAGTTTCGTCTCTCCTCTACAACGGGCGCAGGGATCAGTGCAACGAGCGCGATGTTTTCACCGGGAGCAGCTGCTCGGGGCCGCACCAGAGGAACCGTCATCATGACTCTGTCCCAGCTGCTCCGCGAGGTGCGCAAGAAGGGCGGTAGCGAGGTCGGGATCGAGCTCGGAGGGGAGGGGACACCAGAAGACGAGACCGACGCGGAGATGGAAAAGAAAAACCAAGCACTGGAAGACTACCTCGAACGGTTCCTGCTGCGGGCCATCGACTGGCGCAGCGAGGATATCAGGGCGGAGGGGTCGTTGTTCACGAAGTCTAGAAGTGCGAAGAAACGTACGGAAAGTTCTACAACCGCGCAACCAGCTGATATTACTGCGTCGCCGCCTCCTCCAGCACATGAAGAAGGCCCTAGCACAGGAGGACCAGCGAGCGCTAGTCCAGCTCCTATGGAGGTCGACCAGGGCAGTGGCGAAACACAGCAAGAAGGACCAGTTCCCCCGCGTCCCATGGAGGCAATTCCCGAAGAACAAGATGTAAGCGGCACAACTCCCGCGGCTTCGGCAGGAGTCCAAGAACCCCCCACAGCAGGAAACAGGAACCCGCCAGTCACGACGTTCCGCCATGCGGAAGATCTGCTCTTGCACGCTGGCTATGCACCGATTCCCGGTGGGCGGCCGGTGAAATTGGCTCCTCCCTCGGAACGCTTGCCGGATTTTCTGAACATCAAGGACAGTGCAAAGGCTGCTTCGTCTCTGTTTACTTTCGACAGTGGAGCTGCGCAAACCTCCGTTGGCTCAGGCGCTGGTGAGCAGGGTTCCTCGAAAGGAGGAAGTACTAGCGCCAAGAAAGCAGCTGCTGACCAAGAACATCACCAGCAGCACGACCACTCTGCTGGCTTGATCCAGATCCCGAAGCACTGGGAGCAGCACATCCGCGACACGATTCCGCGCCTGGTCAAGTCCGCCATGCTCGCGTACTTCACGTTCAAGGAGAACATCGACTACGTAGTGGAGGACAACGCCGTTAAGCCGGTGTCCGGTGCCACAGGAATCACGCAAGAGTCCCTCCACTGGTCCGACGGGATTCACCAGACGCTCGAGGTGGCGCACCAACTGCCCGTCACGCCGGAGTCCCTGCCGACGAATTTCTTGTCCAATTTCGCTTTCTTCCGCAGATACAAGTTCGTCTACGGTGTCACGGGAACCCTCGGTTCGCGCGCGGTGCGCAACAGCCTGAAGTCCACGTACCAACTCTCGTCCCGGCTGATGCCCCTATCGCGGGACAAGCGCTTTTTGGAATACGCACCGGATCTGATCGGGCCCGAGACATTGGTGCCGGCGGTTTTGGGAAGCGTGGCGGCTCGCGGCGGTGCGCCGGGAAGCAAGCCGGGGTCGTGGAGAGGAGGGGCGTTTTCGGAGCAGGAAGGGCAGTTCTTGCCCGACGGCGAAAATTATGACCCAAGCGAAATAATGTCAGAAGCGGACGACTCCGGTGTGGCTCATCACGATAACGGAACTGCACGTCGAGTCTTGTCGCAGCGATCGCGGTGGGTGGCGACCGTGGTGGAGAATGTCGTAAGGGAACTTAGAAGGGACCGCGGGGTGCTCTGCATCTGCCGCAGCATCCAGCACGCCACACAGATTTCCACTTCCTTGAAGCGGGAATGGGAGCAGACGAAAGTTATCGAATACCTTCGCCAGTCCAATGCCGACGTGGGCGAGGTCAAAATGGCACCGTTCGAACCGGGCATGGTGATTGTGTCCACCAACCTGGTATGCATTGCAAATATGCCTGGGTCAGGAAGGATGCGAACTTGTGATGCGCATTTCACAAAAAAGATAAATCTCTCATGCATAGGCAGCAAAAGGTGCCCACATCGGATGTGGGCACCTTTTGCTGAAGCGAAATCTGTGATGCTAGGGCTTCCATGGCAGACATTTTGTGTCATGCAAAAACAGCATGACTTCCAGACCCAGACGTTTTTGCATTTGATATCTGGCGGGGCGCGGCACGGACTACGACACCGCAGCGATCGAGCAGTACGGGGGGTTGCATGTGGAGCTCACCTTTTTGGCAGAGAGTCGCGAGGAGGCGCAGGCACTGGGGCGGACGGCGCGGCAGGGCAAAAAAGGCACGGGGAGGATCACCGCTATGGTGTCTGAAGGATTCGGGAGTGCGGGTGGGATAGAAGAGTACACGACGGCACTCGGTAGAGATGAGCAAAGCACAAATCCGGCCGGTCATGAGGATGAAGTCGACGTGTTTGCAAGCTGGATTGACATTCTCGATGGCGAGAAGGGCAAGGAGCTGGTGGATTCTTCTCTCGATGTGGCTTCCTCCGGAGCGGCAGCTTCGTTGGACGCACAGAAGCCACTGCTTGATCCAGTGAAGATGCTCAACAAGGAAAAGAAAAGCGACATTCTGAAGCTGTTAGAACCTAGTACCGGCGGTGCCGCAAGAGATGTCCAACCGGGACGAGATGAAGGTCCTAGTACGCCTAATAGCCCAACGCCGGCTAGTTCTGCTGCGGTTCATCACCGAGAATTGGCCGCCAGCGTGCTTGACGCGGGGAGACGCGACCACGCGGTGCAATATTCACTATCTGCAGGATTCGGCTCGGAAAAAGACAACGACCTGAGCCGGTTGCGAAAGTACAAACTAGATTCCGAGAAAGAGGAGGCCAAGCGGCTGCAACAGTTCGAAGAAGGGGAGCTTGTTGTGATCAAAACGCAGGACCTGCTGTATTCCCGCTTTTTGTTCGAGTTCCAGAGCTTCCGGAGCAAGCTCGCCGACGCGTTTGACCCCGAGGCGTTCTCCGCCAAGTGGAATGCGTTCCACGCACAGAAAGTCGGCAAAGGGGTGGCTGGTGGCGCGGCCGGCGGCGCGCTGGGGTATGCTGCGAGCTCCTTCCTTTTCATGGGGGTCACGTTTTTCACGGGCGCGGTACTCGCGGTGCCCGCAGCCCTCGTCGGCGTTGGCGCGGCTGTTGTATGCAATACAAATTTCCCGTACATGTACAAGATGCATCACAAATTCTACCAATTTGGAGCGCAAAACTTGTCATGCTAAACTAGGATCGAAGCCAAGTTTTGTCATGCAGAGACCGCATTTGTGCGTGTGCGGGAAATTTACTGTGGATATGTTGGTGGCGCGTACTTTATGGGCAAGTACGCCACCGACCTGCACCAGCAGGACCCTTTAGACCGCATCCGGGAGGAAAACACGCTGTTGGCGATCGCGGAGCGGTGGGCGTTGTTTCTGGACCGCAGTCGCAGCGAGATCGAGAAAAGCGTGGCGGACAAAGGGAGGAGAAATAAGGAACTGGACACAGAAATCCGGGAACAGCAAGGTGACCTCGACCGGTTGATGCAGGTGAAAAAAATTATTTCCCGAACCACGATGCCATCCGTTGACGAACTGCAGGAAAACAAAAAGGCAATAGGAGCAGCGCAAGAGAAAATCAAAATCCTAAACAGTCAAAAACAACATGTGGAGCGGGAAACGCAGAAGGAAACACTGAAGAAGTACGAAGCCTGGCTTTCTGACGTGACTTGGGACTTCGCGGGCACGGAGATACCCCCGGCGGAAGAGGATACCGGTGCAAAGTTCGCCAAGTTGCGGGGCGGCGCGCTGCTGAAGTTGGTGCACCGGTTTCCTGGTTCCGCAGACTGGGACGATTTGAATCCGGTGCCTGAATTGTTACCCCTGCTCGAAAGTGACATTTACGCAGAGAAAGATTTTTGGGAAAACATGCGAAAACGTATCGAAAAAGACGCAGGCGAAAAGGCTAAGCTCCCCGGTGGCGGCGGCGTATCTTCCACGACAGGAGACGAGAGCAACCAGCAGCTCCCTGTGGAAGTACAGCTGCGCGCGCACGTGGAGAGCAAGTACTTGGGCCTGCGCGCGATTAAGAACCCGTTCTATTTGACGCAGATGGGCATGGCGTCGATGGACGCTTTGCGCAACGACAAGGCGTTCACTGTCACCCGTCACATGGATACTACTTTGGAAAAACAGATTAACGGTGCTTACGATGGTCCTATGATCTACTTCGAAGCCGCGGTTTCCCTCGACTCCGTCTTCGCGGGTCCTGCCTACATGGGCCAGGCTTGGTGGCGAATCCAAACCGATAGCGGCACCCTGAAGCACTTTGACCGCAAAATGGACGTGAAACTGAGTTTGGAGCGCGCCAGCTTCGCGATTCAAAAGGAGGTGCAGACCCGCGATTTCCTGATCGCCATTTCCGCACCACCGAAAGAACGGGGGTCTAGTACTTCTGCGCTTATTGACACCGCGGAGCAGCAGCAGGCGCCGTCCCCCGGGCAGGAAGCGCTGAAGCGGCGCCAGCAGGTGGCGCGGGCGTACTTGGACATATGAACTGCAAAAGTATCGTACTAGTAGTAGTTGCAATACAAATTAGCTCAGCATGATGACAAATGGATTTTGTCATGCTGTTTTGCCTTGGGATGGAGATTTGTAATGCATGACTGCGATTGCCATTACTGCGAGTGCGATGCTAATTTTGCACGGGATAGGACAACATTAATAGCAACATCGATCAATTGGTCGAAACGCAGCGGCTCGTGGATATCACCAGCCGCAAGGCGTACGTGTTGCAGACGCGCGCCACGGAAACCGACTTCGCGCCGCTCGTGAGCGAGTTCCTCGGCAGGAGACAGAAAGACCCGCCCAGGGATGGTTCTTCCGGCGCGCCGGCCGTCAGACGTCGGCTCCCGCTGAGCAAGGTCGTGGACCAGGTGGAGGTTTTGCGCGTGCCAAAATCCGAAAAGTACCACAAGGAATGGGACAAGTACGGGGGGTTGCGCGAGCTCGCGCCCACCGGCCGGAATCACCTGCGCGATTGGCTCGGGCGAGTGCAGCTGGAGACGCCGAGTGGCTACCGTTCGCCCGGCGGCGCCGCGTCCCCGAGCTTTCTTCGGTTCACCCACCACGACTCATCAATTCCTCCATCAACTACAGGAGCAGCTCCAAGCGGAAGTGCGACAACGACAAGAACTCTGTGGAAAGACGAAGAAATCCTCCGAGTCGTCGAAGAGCTGTACGACCTTCGCACGCGGGGCTTCACAACTTTCACCGATGCTGGCATGACGTGGGACCAGAGCGAGTTGGTCGTGACGCAGTGGTATCGGGAGCTGGAGAAGAGCCAGAATTGGATTGACCGCTTCGGCACGAAGTTTGTGTCGGACGAAGCCACCGCCAGCAACTTGTTCAGTTTCTCGGCTAAAAAGGCGACGGATCATCTGAATTTGCCGCTTCCAGGCCTGCATATCGAATTGCCGATCGTGCGGGGAACCAGCACGCCCGTTTTGCAGCCAGGTACTGCGATAAGTGTCGTAACTACTAGTCCGGAAATTGGGCAAGTCTCTCCCGAACCAAACACCGCTGCGTTTGGCGGGTTCGGGGAGTTGACGGCTTTTCTCCGCGGCGAAGCAGCGGATGCTGGGCGGGGGTACGACGATTTGGGCGGGGACATGACGTGGCGCGAGGCGATGGAGAAATTACTGGAGCGGAAAAAGAAGCTGAGTCAGCGCAAACACGAATGGGTGTGGAAACATCTGCGGAAGAGCGCGAAAAAGAAGGGAGCGGTGTACCACATGGGGAAGCTGAACGCCGGCTTGAAGGCCTTGTACGATGCACAGCTGACGGATGACATCGATCTGGGATGCCAGGCCGTCTCGGTGCAAGCGTTCCGGGAGCCGAGGCAGACCGCATTTGCTGGGGACCAGTCGTCGAGGACCTCCGAACCAAGGAGAAGTAGTAGCGCCCCTGGAAGGACGAGCGTCGGTGGGACTGCTGCAACTGCTTTTGCCAGCGGCATTTTCTACACGGAGCGCGTTGATGCCTTGGAAATGATTTTCGACGAGCAATACGATGATGTGGACAAAGCGATAGATGGCGTTAGGGAGAGGATCAAAGACCAAGAGAAGCCGGATCTTTCCCACCTCCCGGACCTATCCCGTCCGGAAGTGCGCTGGCGGGTGCAATTCAGGAAGGGCCTGGCGAAGGCGACTGCAGACATGCTGCGAGAGTTCCACTTCGATCTAGAGTGGGTTGCGAATGCCCCTGGAGGACTTCATCTTTCCGCGCACACGGGTGGAGGACCCGCTGCTGCTGCTGGTTCTGTGGGCGGCGGTGAGAAATATGCGAGCGCGAGCCAGCAGGAAGGACAAGAAGGCCTGCAGTCCGATATCAATTCCGGTCTCCTCGCGGGAGAGCGCGCGCTGGCACTGCTGGGCATGGCCATCACTCCAGTTGAGTATGTGCTTCCCACCAAATGGCGCAACCGTGCCAACTACCGCGCGGCTACGGGACATGAAATCGTTGACGATGCGCGGTTTGCAACGGCCAGACGCGAACACATCAAAACCACAGTGCAGCAGCATCTTCCAAGTCTGAGGCTGTTTGTGAAAGACAAAGCCTATCGAGACCGCGCGACGAAAGAGGGTGACGATGAGGCACTGTTTCAAGCCATGGTTCCGAAAATGTTCGAACAGGGTGACACAACAAGAGGCAGTTTCAAGCAGCGATCCGAATCTAAAGCGTCACTCGCCAGCGGCATTGATTCTATTGCAGCTTCCAACCCGGTCAGTACGCATGATTATGAACAAGCAGGTTCGCAAAAGGCAGCTGCAGGCACAGCTGGTGCAAGGGGTCCATCTACTTCTACATCAACCTCGTCGGTAACCATCAACAATTTGTGGCAGCCGGGGAGTGTGAGTCTCGAATTCTCGCTCATCTCCGACGCGGACCTGCAGAACTTCATTTTCCAGGAGCTCTCCGCCCGAATCTTGGCCCGTGCGAACACCGAACTGCACGTTGGAAATGAAGACGCAAAATCCTCTTCCCGTTGGGTCGATGGCAGCTTCCCTTTGGAAACCGCCGCGCACCTGATTCGGCGCGCTTGGAGCTGGGAAAAAATGGAGGAAGAGTTTAACAGAGCGCACGAAGCGTTAAGTTATGAGTTGTTTCACGCCGTAGACGACGAGCAGCAGCGGCCCGAAGGCGCAAAACTGCAGTCCTACAAGGCCGGTTACACGGGCAGCACCAAGCGCGGCCCGAGCTCCGATCTGCAAACGAGCATCGAGGTGCTGGAAGACGACGAGCGGTGGGCGGGTTTTGGCAGCTACGGCCCCGCGGACTGGCGCACGAAGTTCCACCAGTTGGAAGTGGCGGAGCGGAAG